TGAAAGGGCAATTGAAGTGGAAGAGACAGAAGAAAAATATGAAAAGGAAAATGAATTGGAAGGAGAAAAAGACAAAGAGAGGGTAGATAAAAAAGCAAAAGCGTGAGAAAAAAATGAAAGACGAGAACAAATGCAAAAAGGAAAGTGAAGAATGAGGCCAGCAGGACAAGGTAGAGCAAGAATAGAAAGAGAAAAAGGTACTATTTTATTGATTGTCAGGGAGACGGCTTATTTTTCGTTAATAAATAAATACAATTCGTATGACGAGATTGCTGTTAAAAGTCAAGTTAATGAGCATAAAATCTTATCATGGTTTGGTTGAGCTTACTTTCTTATCAAATTTGGTGATGATTAAATTAAGAATAATGGATCTCACCATACGACTAATGTTTTTTTAAAAACTTTTGATGCCTAATATTCTTAGAATCCTATGATTTAGTTAGTTTGCAAGACACCATCATTGTAAAAGTGCTCAACTTTCCTTTGGGATCCTCAGAGGCGGACCTATTCTCCTTTCAGCTTCCAGCCAACACCAAGTCAAGTCAACGTACATGTTCATTCCTGTACATTGAATATGTACTTTAATAAAAATTACTTTTTTGAGAAATATAAAGTGATTTGTTCAGTTCTCTTTCGTCTCCAGCTAAATGAATGCACGAGGCAGCAAGTATGTGTGTATGTTCTAGGCTTACTTTTGCGTGTGTGCTTGTCATGTGCGGTAGACGTATGTGAATGTATGTACGTGTGCATTGATATAGAACATGGATTTGCACAAGAGGTCAGTCTTCTGCTTTCTTTAACAACTGTTTTTCTTCCTCTCTTGCAATTGCGCCTGGCTTTTCACAAACGATGCACCAGAACGAAACTGAAAATATTCCCCAAATCCCCAAAATTAGAGATTTGCAATCTTGTTGCTTATTAATTTTGCGCTTTTATTTCATCGGATTCAGAGAACGAATGTTGTCCACCAGCGTTGAATGTTTCCGCCATCTCGAATCCCGACGGAGCTTCTGCAAGCGCTGCCAGTCTTTTTCGTGTTCACACGAAAGTTGTGAGAAACTTCCGGTTGCCCGTCGGTGCTGGCACCGATCCTGATGTATGAAAAAGGTGGGATGGGCAGCCGGAGGGGGGAGGGGAGGGGGAGAAGAGATACTCTTAACTGAATTGGAAACAAAGCTCGACAGGCCTTACCGGATCTCCACTGTCTCCGGGACCGCCGAGATCCCCGGGCTGTCCCTGAAGGGGAAAAAGAGACAAGAAAGTGGTACAGTTAAATGCGATTCGGATCAAATGGAATAAACTGGCAATAAAAAGGTGCTTTTGCGATCATTTTGTGATTTGGAGGAGCCGAAAAGCACATGCACAACGTGGAAAGATGTGCAAAGTCAGTGTAAGTGTGTGCGAAGAAAAGTTGGGTTTCGAGGAATCTCTTGTTTCATAATTGTTGAGCCCACTTCCATTTCGAGTGAAAGTGTTGCCACCAGAAGACGATGGCGGATCGCTCTTGATTGGAACTGTTTCCGAGGCAATCTCCTTCGTCCGTCATGTCACGAACATCATCAAAGCGAGGAAACATCTTCACAACCAAATTCAAGCTGATGAATCAAGAAAACCTACCGACAAATTCCTAAAAATTGGTACACATACTCTACATCTGACCTCTTTGATCAAGTATTAAGTGGTTTGGTTAGTTGCGGTCATATGTCAACTTCGATGCCTGTGAGTGTGTCCGTATCTGTATGTGTATGTGCCTGTTTGTGCTCGCTTATGCACAGACGTTCCTTTTTGCCGTCCTAATTATTTTGTGCATAAGCGAACACAAACAGGCCCATACACATACACATACAGACACACTCACAGGCATCGAAGTCGACATGGCGAACATCATCCGAGCAAGGTTTCATCGTGACAACAAGATTTGCGCCAACGAGTCGAGAAACCTCCCCGGCACATCCCCAAAAAGCTGCATACATACACTTTGTCCAACAGAGATAGAGACACTCTCGCATGCTTTGAGGTTGAGACATGACTAAAACTAACCGAATCACTTTATACCTCATCAAAGAAGTGTATGTACAGCTTTTTAGGGTCTTATTAACTTCACTTTTGGCTGTAAGGTTGATATCTTTATCTGTTGATGGTCGTCATTGGACGGACGACAGGACTCGAAGGGGATTACGTCGGAAACAGCTTCATCATGAAGGTTCCAGCAGAGCCAATCGGCAACTGGCCAATAGGATTGCGCCGATGCTCGTCCTCGCGTGGACTCGACCTTTGAACTTTTTCACCAAACAATGTCCTTCGAAATGGCCGTAAAGCCAACAATTGCAAATGTGGTCGCTTATTTTCTGTTGATGTTGATGTCACGAGTCGTCTGACAACCGAGACTTGTGGTGGTGCTGACAAAAGGCGTCTGATTGGTTGGAAGGCCTTGGGCTCGATTCCTTGTAGGCGAATGCAAAGATTTCGTTTAACATGTTTTATTGCATGTGCCGTCTTCTTGCGTCGGAAGTAAGGCTAGGGGGACGTGTACTGTAGATTGGCCTCATCTGAAAACGAATTTTCAGTGGTTTTTGGCAATTTTGGCAGCTGATTTGTGCCA